TCTTTCTCTCTTTCTCTCAATTTCTTTTCTTTTCAAGTACACAAGAAAACACACATACACATATATATATATATATATATATATATATAATTTCTATATACATATTTATATGTTTATACAACATGTATTATATATAAACATTATTATTTATTTATTTATTATTATATCATGAAATTTCATGAATATTTATATCATGAATAATATATTTTTTATATCACATTTATTATATTTATATCATTATTATTATATCATGAATGATGCGCGAACGAATTTTTTAATATAATAATATATTATATTTATGACGTATCTCAGCTATATAATTACTTTTTCATTTGTTTCAGGGTACGATGAGCCTGACAAAACGCATAGAAGAAGTCAGATTACTTGAGTCACGCAAGAGTGCTCGGTTAGCTGATCAGGACACTGATTTTGCTAGGCTCGCAGATATGGCCGGCGATCGAAAACGTGCCTCGTCTCATTCCATCGACGTACCGCACGTGATCGGGTGAGTTTCTATTCATCTTTTTCTATTTCTCTCTTCTTTTCTCTCTCTCTCTCTCTCTCTCTCTCTTTCTCTCTCTCTCTCTCTGTCTCTCTCTCTTTCTTTCTCTCTCTTTCTCTCTCTCTCTCTCTCTCTCTCTCTCTCTCTCTTTTTTTTCATACACAATTAATCCAAATTTCGTTACTCTTCCAATCAAAAACTTCTCTTCAATTTCTTTACAATTATTCATTTCAGTTATTCATTTTGATATCTTAAAAAAAAAAAAAAAAAAACAAAAAAAAAAAAAAACAAAAAAAAAAAGAAAAAAAAAAAGAAAAAAGAATAGAAAAAAGAAAACAAAAGAAAAGGAAACAAAGGAAACAGTCTTCAAATTCTATAAATTTTCTTTTTTCTCTCGATAATTAAATTCATTTCAATTATTGCGAGAAAGAATTCCATCAGAGATCGTTCGATCTTCATTAATCCTTAATTTATATGTTTTTACTATTTTTTTTTCTTTCCTCCCTCTCCCCCCCCAACCCCCGTACTACCACCCTCTCCACTAAAAAAATGGTACGATACGTTTTATATACATTATCAATCACTTTCGTAAGAATTTGTCAATCAATTTATTATGAAATTATTATATTTAAATTATTATATACAGTATATATATATATAATGTACAGAATAATATTATGGATTATTGCTATAATACTAATAATTAATAGTATCACGGTTTATAATAATAATATAAACATATATATTACTATACCGATTTGAATCTAAACTTTGCGATCGATTATTTTCATGTCGTGATAGAAGTTATCAATTTTGTTAAATAAGATCAATTCGTATTATATGTAGAATAAATATTAAAAAAAAACAAAAAAAAACAAAAAAAAAGAAACAAAAAATAACAAAAAAGAGATAAAAAGGAAGAAAGAGAAAAAAAAATATATATATATATATATAATATATAAAATGTACAGTTATTATAGAAGAGTATATTTAAATATAATAATTATTACGTCAAATCACATATAAAAAATATATTATAATTATAAAATATTATATTAAAATATATTTATATACGATACAAAAATAATTAAATACAATGTTTATTATAATTAATAATTATTTATAATATAAATAATGCAAATTATTTATATTACAAATAAATAAATAAAACGATATTATAACAATATATATTATTATTATTATTATTATTCGAATATAATATGTCGACGATGATGAAGAGGATAGGCGCGCGCGCGCGGGCGTCTTTGCATATACATGTCGCCCCCCCCCCCCTAAACCCCCGCCCGTCTTTGTATGTATGTGTATACGAGACTAGAAGGATGCGTCATGTAAGAGAGAACCTAAGGGCTAAGGACCTAAAAGCCGACCAGGGTTAGGTTAGAATTTTCGGAAGGTCGTCTCGTGTTTTTGGCTCCCTCCCGCATCCGTCTAAGCTCCCACACGTGGGATGGGATGGTTGGTTGTTGGGGCTGGTTGCACACCGAGGAAGGTATTCGATGCTTTGAAAAAGGTGTATCGCATCCGAGTCCTCTCTACGTTAAGGTGCAGGGAATGGAGGGGTTGGGGAGAGGGGGTGCGAAGGAAAGAGAGAGAGAGAGAAAGAGAGAAAGAGAGAAAGAGAGAAAGAGAGAAAGAGAGAGAAAGAGAGGTCTGTCGCTCGTTCGACCGTGAATGCACCCTCGGCTTATATCCTCGCCGGACACCTGTCCCTCGGCTTTATATCTATCTCTTCGCTCTTTTAAACGTAATACCAACGTCGTTTTCTACCCTTCGCCGATTGACATTGACGAATTTTAAACACGGCAACTTTTTCATTCTTCGAAGAACAGGGGCTGGCTGTGGTGGTGGGGGCAAAGGAAAGGAAGAAATGGAAAAAAAAATATACAAGCAAGAAGAAAAACGGCAAAAGTAAAAAAAAGAAAATCCAACGAAAGAGAGAGAGAGAGAGAGAGAGAGAGAGAGAGAGAGAGAGAGAAC